TGAATAAACAGATGGATGAATGGATAAACAGATGGATGAATGGATAAACAGATGGATGAATGGATAAACAGATGGATGAATGGATAAACAGATGGATGGATGGATGGATGGATAAACAGATGGATGGATGGATGGACGGATGGATGGATAAACAGATGGATGATAAACAGATGGACGGATGGATGAATAAACAGATGGATGAATGGATAAACAGATGGATGGATGGATGGATGGATGAATAAACAGATGGATGAATGGATAAACAGATGGATGGATGGATGGATGGATGGATGGATGGATGGATGGATGGATGGATGGATGCCCACTCACTAAGTGGAATAAGTCTTTCCTCCACTGATCTTGCTTTTCAGTGATGCTAGCATGTTCTGATGCTAGCATGTTCTCATGCTAACATGTTCTGATGCTAACATGTTCTAATGCTATTACGTTCTGATTCTAACACGTTCTGATCCTAACATGTTCTGATCCTAGCATGTTCTGATGCTAGCATGTTTAAAAATGCTATCTGAAAACATGCTAGCAGCCATTCATCATCCAGTCCAGTGACTCTCATCATTTTTCAAACGCATATATTTGTTTTATTGGCATTTAACTTAACTAAAACCTCTGATATAATCTAACTTTATTGTTTTAATTACTCAGACACAAATAAAAACCTATTCTGAGCTACTTAGCATGCTAACATGCTAAAGGTAGATGGTGAAAGACAGTTTGTGCCTTGCTCCCTCAGCATGGCTTCACATTATTTAGCTGTGTTTAGATGCGCTGCCTCAGACTGCACCCTTTTAATGTCCGTTTCTGTTGAGCGACTGACAAAAGGGAAGTTGACATGAATTGCTCACCACTCGCTCTGGGATTTGATTCTGGCCCCAGAAAGTCTGCAGGAGAGACAGAACAAAGTAGGTGAAGCCCAGACGCTGCAGCACTCCGGGGATCCTGAGCCAGGACCAGGACACTGGGACACAGAGCAAACACTCAGAACTACACGACCAACACAAACGTATTTACAGCCACCACATCCAACATCACCACATCCAACATCACCACATCCAACATCACCACCACATCCAACATCATCACCACATCCAACATCACCACATCCAACATCATCGCCACATCCAACATCATCACCACATCCAACATCACCACATCCAACATCATCACTACATCCAACATCATCACTACATCCAACATCACCACATCCAACATCATCGCCACATCCAACATCATCGCCACATCCAACATCGCCACATCCAACATCACCACATCCAACATCACCACATCCATCACCACATCATCCAACATCATCACCACATCCAACATCACTACATCCAACATCATCACCACATCCAACATCATCACCACATCCAACATCGCCACCACATCCAACATCATCACCACATCCAACATCACCACATCCAACATCATCGCCACATCCAACATCATCGCCACATCCAACATCATCGCCACATCCAACATCTTCGCCACATCCAACATCATCGCCACATCCAACAT